GATCTCCTATCTAAATTGTTTCACAGTTGGTTAGTGCTTTTTTGGCCATTGCTAGGGTATGAGCACCTCTTTGACACTACTTAGATCCACCAATGAAGGGGAGATAAAATTGAAATTGGTGAGTGAGCATATGCAAACACAGAGAGCAAATATAAATAGGTAAATTTTTAAAAACAAGAGCTTAAATATAAGAACAAATGATTTAATGTGAAAAAACATAAACCACATAATACAGTACAACATTCTGTCCACCTCCCACTATGTTGTAACCAAGGTTCCATGAACACTGAATAATAAAACACATGGTAAGGCTCCTCAAAAGAACTTTTGTAAACAAATGAGTGACAGAGTCGCCGGTCATAACGAGTCAAACCATAAATCAAGCAAGGAACTGAGTCTTGTTAATTTAGATATGAATATTTATTTGACATATATATGCTGGTATTCTGTGCAAAGGCAGACCCAGTCTTTCTGACCTACAAATAGTCCTGTTTCTGTGGGATGTTAAACATAAGTTCTACTATTTTTTTAATATCATGCTATTCTGTAATACATTTTATTGTATCAAATTTTACTAGACTGGGGGGGGGGGGGTTTGAGGGAGTGTCTGATAATTACTGACAGAGACCTGCAGGATCTACAGCGGAGGATTTGGTAAAAGTCAAGGTTTATGGTCCCTTGGCGTCTAGAAAACTGGGCAATTTCTGGTTGTTCTGAGAATATTAAAAACAATTGTTATTCTTGCTTGGTTTGCTGATGTGGGCTTAGCCTGTCCGTTGGAGAACTCTGACCCTTTTTCCGGTTGCCGCTGCCACTGGGTGCTTCACAGCAAAGTCAATTTCAATATATATAACAAATACTCTGATAGAACTTAAACTTTGAAACACTAGTATTTATTCCACAGAAATATTACTTTATTACCTGTAGGTTCGCTTAATGTCATAGGTTGATAAAACTATAGAAGCAGTCAATACTATTGCTTACTAACATATTTGATTATCATGATTACTTTTAGGTAGTTTAATTTGATCTGCAATAACCAATATATTAAAGAAGGGTAATCCTATAAGAAAGTATAATACATACTCCAAGTATTGAAATACACGCCATCGTGTATTTCAATACTTGGAGTATGTATTATACTTTCTTATCTGTAATCCTATAAGGTGAGGCTAATCAAGTAAAACTAATTCACAAAGTGAAGCTGTTAATCCATAAGGTAAAGCTAATCGATAAGATTAAGCTAATCCATAATGTAATGTATTTCATAAGATGAAGTTAATAATTCATAAGGTGGACCAAATCTATAATTTAAAGGTATTAAATCTATAACAATATTTTACAGCATATGCAATGATAGTTATAAACATACTAAGGAAATGTATCAAACAATCCAAGCATATTTGTTGGAACACTTATATATGTAGTAAGGTATACAGACATCTTATCACTTTTCTTGTGTTAAAACAGGCTGCAGTAATGTAGTTCATCATCCTAACCTTTTTCTTGGATTAACCTATTATGCTGTAGTAAGGTATTCAGATGCCTTTTATCACTTTTCTTGGATTAACATATTATGCTGCAGTAAAGTATACAGACATCTCATCACTTTTCTTGTGTTAACACACGCTCCAATAATGTATTCAGTCGTCCTAGCATGTTTCTTGGGTCTGTGACCAAACCTGCTGCTATCATAGCATTGTCAAATATCTGCGAAGAAAGACATATTTCTTGGGAAAAAAATCATCTATTGAATGTGTACAAATGAACACTTTAAAGAGGCGGTATCCATAATACATTTATGTTCAAATGTACTTTGCCAAAAGCTAAACAAAAAATGCTCTGAAACATGAATAGGTACACTGTATGTTCACAGTTGATGTTGTTTTAATAACATTCCAGTGAGTAGGTGCTGCAATAGAGAAAGCCAGATGAATATAATAGACAGCCTCTTTTTCAATTTGGCCAATCAACTACATCTAAATTTATTAACAAATGGCTTTTTACCTGTTCTGCTAACATTCGGGCAACTGGTGGATTACATGATTTCAGATCCGACAGAAGATGCATTAAATTATGTCTGAAATAAACAAGGAATAATAAAAAACCAGATCATATAATAGTCTTATGTAAGTCATCAACTGTGTGGCCTATTATTCCTTCTAC